CTGCTGATCCCCTGCCTTTTGTCTTCCCCGAATGTCAGGGTGCCTTCACAGTGACTCAGGATGAAGTACGGCGGGTCTTGTCCAGGACCACAGCTCGGAAAGCCGCAGGCCCGGACTGCATTCCTCCCCGCGTCCTGAATCTGTGCTCCGAGCAACTTGCCCCTGTTTTAACGGACATCTTTAACTTGTCACTCAGGAGCTGTACGGTGCCGGTGAGCTTTAAAAGGTCCACCATTATTCCTGTTCCTAAGAAGTCTCCAGTAACATGTCTCAATGATTACCGTCCTGTGGCCCTCACGTCTGTTCTTATGAAGACTTTTGAGCGGCTTGTGCTGGACTTCATTAAGAGCCAGATCCCTGTGAGTGTTGACCCGCTCCAGTTTGCTACAGACAGAACAGGAGTGTGGAGGATGCATCTCCTTTGCTCTGAACTCTGTCTACACTCATTTGGACACTAGTAAATCTGTGGTCAGAATGCTGTTCATTGATTATAGCTCTGCTTTTAATTGTCTTGTCCCAAGCATATTGGTTGAAAAACTAATGTCCCTTGGTCTGAATGTTGCCATGTGTAAATGGATTTTTAGCTTTTTAACTGACAGATCTCAGAGTGTAAAAATCAATGACTGTTTTTCTGATGTTGTTTCTGTGAGCACTGGTTCTCCTCAGGGATGTATTTTGAGTCCTTTGCTTTTTACTTTGTACACTCACGATTGTGTGTCCTCCTCTGACTCTAACTTGATCATCAAATATGCTGATGACACCACCATCATCGGTCTCATCAGTGACACTGATGATTCCTCTTATAGAGCAGAGATCGAACATGTTTTTCAGTGGAGTAAAGTAAACAATCTCCAGCTGAACACTGCAAAAACATGTGAACTTGTCTTTGACTTCAGTCATAGCAGTTCTCACACTCCTGTAGTTATTGATAACTCCCAGGTGCAGATCGTAGAGGAGCAAGTTCCTGGGTTTAACTCTGTCTAACCTGAAATGGGTTAAAAATACTAACCGGGTTGTTAAGAAAGCTCGTCAGCGGCTCTTCTTTTTGCGGAAACTTAGAGAATTTACCACTAATTCTAAGATTCTGCTTAACTTTTATCGCTGCACCATTGAGAGTTTACTTGTTGGTTCTGTGTCTGTGTGGTTTGGAAACATCACAGATAAAGAAAAGAGAGCTTTAAACAAGGTGCTCCGCTCTGCAAAGAGGACCGTGGGCTGTGAGCTTCCTGTTCTGGAGGTTCTTTACAGATCCAGACTTTTAAACAAAGCTCTTAAAATCATCAACGACTCTTCTGGCCACCCTGGGAAAGCCATGTTCCAGCTTCTTCCCTCTGGCAGAAGATATCGGTCACTGAGATGCAAGACATCTCGCTATGCTAACAGCTTCTTCCCACAGGCTGTTAGGTGCCTAAACAGAGCACTTTAATTTCTGCTTTTACCTGCTTTTAAACTGCTTTTACCCCTCGTATTGTTTTGTTGATCCACAGTGTCAGCTGTTTTTTTATTGTTTTATGTTCAGTGTATGTGTGTTTTGTATTGCATTGTGTCGTGTTTTTGTTCTGTCGGTGCACACGGAGTGCCTTTCTTGCGAATGTATTCCAATGTGGTTTTTTAACTGCACATGGCCAATAAATGAATCTTGAATCTTGAATCTTTAAATTTAAAATAGAGTCACAGTTACTATTTACAATATCCAAGTGCACATGGTGCACACAATGTAAGGTGACAGCAGTACAGTGAAGTAAAGTGACGTATGATGGGCAGTAAAGTGACTTTATAAAGGGCGGGGGGACAGGTTAAGAAGTGTTCAAGAGTCCAACAGCAGAGGGGAAGAAACTGTTCTTGTGGCGGGAGGTTCTAGTCCTGATGGACCGCAGCCTCCTGCCTGAGGGGAGTGGATGGAATAGTCCATGTGCAGGTGAGAGGGGAGTGGTTGGAATAGTCCATGTGCAGGTGAGAGGGGAGTGGTTGGAATAGTCCATGTGCAGGTGAGAGGGAGTGGTTGGAATAGTCCATGTGCAGGTGAGAGGGAGTGGTTGGAATAGTCCATGTGCAGGTGAGAGGGGAGTGGTTGGAATAGTCCATGTGCAGGTGAGAGGGGAGTGGTTGGAATAGTCCATGTGCAGGTGAGAGGAGACTGGTTGGAATAGTCCATGTGCAGGTGAGAGGGGAGTGGTTGGAATAGTCCATGTGCAGGTGAGAGGGGAGTGGTTGGAATAGTCCATGTGCAGGTGAGAGGGGTCGGCTGTGATACGACCAGCCCGGCCTCGAGCTCGGGCGACGTACAGGTCCTGCAGCGATGGAAGGCTGCGGCCGATCACTTCCTCTGCAGAGCGCACAATGCGCTGTAGTCTCTGTTTGTCCCTGACTGTGGCTCCAGCGAACCACACGGTGATGGAGGAGGTGATGGAGGAGGTGATGGAGGAGGTGATGGAGGAGGTGATGGAGGAGGTGATGGAGGAGGTGATGGAGGAGGTGATGGAGGAGGTGATGGAGGAGGTGATGGATGGCTGAGTTCGTCTTATTGCCCAGTGAGCGTACGTTGGACAGAAAAATGCCGGGGAGAGCCGCGCTCCTCTCCTCCTCAGACGCACGAGCAGCCTCCGCGCCTTCCCCTTTTACGGGCCCACACTTTTTTGGCTAGAACATGAACTAAATCAGCCGCAGATGCCAAGAAAACAGGCAATAGGTCCATGGGAACGGTGGGTCGGATGTTCATAAGTTCCTCACGGGTGTAGGAACAGCCAGATGCACAGTTAAAAAGTAAAAACAAAAGAAAAAGAGAGCAGCAAAGAGCCATGTCGACCGTACGAGGCGCCATCTTTGTTGTATATTGGCTTTATAGAGTAAAGCCTGGTTCACACGGCAGGATATTTAGGCCGATTTAGACCCGATTTACCCCTTACGACAATCTTAAGAAACGCTCCGATTTCCGTAACAAAGTCTTACAGATTATCCTGCCGTGTGTGGTGTGTTAAGACTGCACTCGTCGCTCGGAAGGACATTGGGACTGCTCCCGATCTCAAATCGGGGATATCCAACATGTTGGATTGTTTTGGCCCGATTTCTGGTCGTGTGTGGTGTCCTCCGAGGACAAGCGAGCGCGTTGCCATGACTACGGCGTGTAGCCAATAAGAAGACTAGGTGACAAGCCGGTGAGGAAACACCGGAAAAAAACCAAAACACAGCAGCATGGCTTTGACCATTGCCTTTTCTTTGGATTACGTGTCTTCTCTGTTAACAACAAACTGCACACTATCGCCACTGCATCCTCTTCGTCCGCCATGACTGTTTACTCTGAAGTCACGCTTGATCTCGAGAGATTTTGTGAGATTTCCGTCTGACCTGGGAATGCTCGGGGGTGTCGGTTCGTGTGTGATGTTTGTGGCTTGCGTGATCTTGCCGTGTGGCTACGCACCACACACTGCACGACCATAGTGGTTAGACGCAGGATTTTTAATCTCCCCGTGTGGGGTCTAACACGGAGAAAAATCGGCCGACAATTTTAAAATCGTCTCGTGTGAACCAGGCTTTAGAGCAGAAGCATCAGAATATTTATGTGGTCAACGCCCTTTAATACACAACATTCTTCATTTGGACATGATTCTTCAGTCAGTGAGGTTGGATGTGTGTGTGTGTGTGTGTGTGTGTGTGTGTGTGTGTGTGTGCATTAAGTCATGACCAGGTCACATAGATGGACTCATATGCATGTATCATCTATGGGTGTGTGCAAGTGTATGTGTGTGTCTGTATAGCTGTAGTATACCTGTAGTATGTGTGTATGCATGTAGTGTGCGTCTATATACCTGTAGTATGTGTGTAGTATGTGTCTGAATACCCGTAGTATAAGTGTAGTGTGGGTCTATTTACTTGTAGTATGTGTGTGTCTTTATACCTGTAGTATACCTGTAGTATGTGTGTATGCATGTAATAAGTGTGTGTATGTCTGTATACCTGCAGAATGTGTGGGTGTGTCTGTATATATATAAATATCTGACAACTTCATGGATATAATATAAATGTGCCGTGTTGAGTAAATGCTTTGTCAGAATGAACGGCGTCTGTGTAGGTTTCTCACCTCCATTTAATTTACATCTGCTGTAAAACTGCCATGAATAGAAGCAGTGACTTAAGGCACTGTCATGAAAGTATTAGACAGACACTAAAGCTGTCATAAAGTCTAATGTGAGGATGCTTTCATCTGAACTGGTGACAGAGGGTTCGCTGTCTGCAGTGTGGGCGTCTTTGCCGTAAACAGACTGAATACATGTGAGATTGCAGCCATTTTCCTGCAGTGATATGAACGGTGTGTGTTCTGCAGCCAAACCCAGACCCTGCAGAGTTAGCCACGTGTAGACATTTGTCACCATTCCTCTGTTAAACAAAAACACGGTTTGAAATACATTCTGGAGCCCTGCATTTTGTTATCTACACAGCTAACCAGCCAACACAAGGAAGTACAATTGCGAACCCGGCGAGGGACAATGATTACCGTTAGCTTACGCCCGCCACAATGAAACCTGCTTTTTTCCCCTAACGCAATTATGGCAAGCTCTGAACCCCAAAACAGTTTAATCCTAACAATAACGCTAACTTTTAAACACAACCCTAATCTTAACAAGAGGGTGTAATAAATTGTCAAGCATGAACATTAGCTAGAGTGGCTACCAAAGCTAGCCTTCTGATTGTGGCACAGTGCGTCGGGGAAAAAAACCGTTAACTAGGCCACCAACGTCTGCAGATTACAGTCACACGATTCAGCTGAGAGTGATTGGCGTTTGATTTGAACCAATGATAGCGGAGAGGTTTTTTCATCTGATTGGTCGTAGCGTCTGTCTGTCAAACGTTGTTCCGGAAACTGTCCAATAGAATCGCGCGACACGTCATTTTGGGCGGGTTTAGGCGCCATACATAAAGCGAGGCGCAGCCCTTCCACTTGCAGAAGCAGATTCGTCTTTGACTCAGCAGCGCTCCTCCACGAACTCTACTAACCCGAAACAATGAGAGAAATCGTGCATCTCCAGGCCGGCCAGTGCGGCAACCAGATCGGTGCTAAGGTAAGAAGTCCGGAGTTTATGTGTTAATCGTTCTATTTAGCCCCTATTGTTTTGTGTGGTTCTTTTGCTCTCGTTGTCTGTGCTTTGTGTCTAGCCTCAGCGAAACCACACCCTGAATCTCATTTGGGCTTTTCTATGGCCAAATACGTAGACAATGACGTAAACTTTAGACTTTTTTTGCGATTATAATGTTGGATTGGATAATAAACTGTTCTTTAATTTGATTTTTTGTTCAAAATGACAATTGGTATGGATTTGAATGTATGACTGAAAAAAAAAATTGCTCATTTTCTAATCTTAGTGGATTGTGTGAATTATTGACGGTTTATCCTTAACATGGAGATGAAATTGACCGTTTTGTGGCACAGGCCGCAGTGAGCAGGCCGCGCGCTGCACAGGGCGGGAGGGCGCGCGAGCCGGCTACTGCAGTCTGCGTGGTGACGTCACAGCCGCTTTCAAATTTGTCTGCTGAGTGTCTCAGCCAATCAGAAGCCAGCCCTCTCCCCCGCCCGTAGCAGAGCGCGGGAAATGGCTGCATTCTCACATACCGTACTCAAACGCGTAATGTAATTGTGTTATTTCTTTGTGTAGTTCTGGGAGGTGATCAGTGACGAGCATGGCATTGACCCGACTGGAACATACCACGGAGACAGCGACCTGCAGCTGGACAGGATCAATGTGTATTACAATGAAGCCTCTGGTAAGATTAAAACTAATGTCAAATATTTAAGGAAAGAAATGTATTGCTGCATTAGGCTAATTTTGGATCTTTCTCTCACAGGTGGCAAATATGTACCCCGTGCTGTGCTTGTCGACTTGGAGCCAGGAACCATGGACTCTGTGAGGTCCGGACCCTTTGGCCAGGTCTTCAGGCCTGACAACTTTGTTTTCGGTACGCTGCTGTTATGTTAATCAATTATTCAAGTTAACAAAGTTCAGTCTCTAATTAAATTTTCTAAATTCCAGGTCAGAGCGGAGCTGGTAACAACTGGGCGAAGGGCCACTACACGGAGGGAGCAGAGCTGGTGGACTCTGTGCTGGATGTTGTGAGGAAAGAGGCTGAGAGCTGTGACTGTCTGCAGGGCTTCCAGCTCACACACTCCCTGGGTGGAGGCACTGGGTCTGGGATGGGAACACTGCTCATCAGCAAGATCCGTGAAGAATACCCAGACCGTATCATGAACACCTTCAGCGTGGTGCCTTCTCCCAAAGTGTCAGACACAGTCGTAGAGCCATACAACGCCACACTATCGGTCCATCAGCTGGTAGAGAACACAGACGAGACCTACTGTATCGACAACGAGGCTCTGTACGATATCTGCTTCCGCACACTCAAACTCACCACACCGTCGTACGGCGACCTCAACCACCTGGTGTCCGCCACCATGAGCGGCGTCACCACCTGCCTCAGGTTCCCCGGCCAGCTCAACGCCGATCTGCGTAAGCTCGCCGTCAACATGGTGCCATTCCCACGTCTGCACTTCTTCATGCCCGGCTTCGCACCGCTCACCAGCAGAGGCAGCCAGCAGTACAGGTCGCTCACAGTCCCTGAGCTCACACAGCAGATGTTCGATGCCAAGAACATGATGGCGGCCTGCGACCCACGCCACGGCCGTTACCTCACAGTGGCCGCCATCTTCAGGGGCCGCATGTCCATGAAAGAGGTGGACGAGCAGATGTTGAACGTGCAGAACAAGAACAGCAGCTACTTTGTGGAATGGATCCCCAACAACGTGAAGACCGCAGTGTGCGACATTCCTCCCAGAGGCCTCAAGATGGCCGCCACCTTCATCGGCAACAGCACGGCCATCCAGGAGCTGTTCAAGCGTATCTCCGAGCAGTTCACCGCCATGTTCCGGCGCAAGGCCTTCCTCCACTGGTACACCGGTGAGGGCATGGACGAGATGGAGTTCACCGAGGCCGAGAGCAACATGAACGACCTGGTGTCAGAGTACCAGCAGTACCAGGACGCCACGGCCGAGGAGGAGGGAGAGTTCGAGGACGAAGGAGAGGAGGAGCTGGCTTAAATCATTCTGTCACTTCTGCTGAAGTCTGTAATGTGACGTTTTCAATGTTTGTTCGTTTATTCTGTTAATAAAAACCTGCATCTTTCCTCATCTCTGTCTAACTGTGTTTGTAACAAAGAATAGAACTAGATTTGAAATCTGGAAAAAGTGTGACTACACCTGACTAGTTAGAGGACTAATGACTTTTCTGACTACTATGCTAATTTAAAAAGTAAAGGCAGAAGCTAAGGTTTGACTACTTTCCTGCTATATTACTGAGCCTTTTGTCAAAATGGCCACTGGTGACAATTAACCTAAAGTCTCCCAAAGGGGAAAACGTTTAACTTAAAGGTAATCTTTAATTGGCCCAATTGTCTTCTACATGTCAACATTCATAAACTTGCTGTGCTGCAGTCTTAAACTCATTCCAGACATTGCTACTGCATAAAGCCCTTTCCATAAGTACAAAATGCCTCTTGCTGAACCAGCACATCCGGACGTGTTTGATATTCAGAGGCTTCCAGTGCATCAGGATTTTCATAACTTCATGGGAACTTTAGTGAACAATGACTCACTGATAGTTTTCTCAGTGCTATTGTGGCCTGAGAAGTCTAGATGTAGTTATTACAGGATCCTGCGATTACAGCATTTCCTGTTTGATTCTCTGATCTGCTGTTAGTGAATCCACAACTTCGTAAAGTCAGACGGCTGCTGTGACACAAATACATTAAATTGAATCTTGACAAACATTTCAGAGTTTATTTACAACAGTCTCAAAGGTGTGTGAACAGTTGCGGTGGGTGTCCAGCAGGGGGCGCTGTGGTCAGTAGTTTCCAGAGGCCGTAGGAGAGGAGGCTGACTGCCAGTGCCACCAGACTCCAGCCGCACACCGCCCTCAGTCTGCTGTCCAGCCCTGGGGGGCGGCCGAAGCGGGACACGAACCCACTCTGTGGACCAGAACCATGTGAAGCACTCACACTTTGAATTCAAGAAGAAACTTCAGATTTAACGGCCACAAGTCGGTAACTGCTGCTTTCTACTCTTTGATAAACATCAGAATCAGAGTCTGAGATTCTCCTTTTGTCTCCAGAACCAGGAAGTACCATCACATAGTCCTGGTCTCTGAGACCAAGGAGCACAGGGACTGGCCTCCTGCTGGGACTCTGGGGAGCACAGGGACTGGCCCCCTGCTGGGACTCTGAGGAGCACAGGGACTGGCCTCCTGCTGGGACTCTGAGGAGCACAGGGACTGGCCTCCTGCTGGGACTCTGGGGAGCACAGGGACTGGCCCCCTGCTGGGACTCTGAGGAGCACAGGGACTGGCCTCCTGCTGGGACTCTGAGGAGCACAGGGACTGGCCTCCTGCTGGGACTCTGAGGAGCACAGGGACTGGCCTCCTGCTGGGACTCTGAGGAGCACAGGGACTGGCCTCCTGCTGGGACTCTGAGGAGCACAGGGACTGGCCTCCTGCTGGGACTCTTGAGGAGCACAGGGACTGGACTCCTGCTGGGACTCTGAGGAGCACAGGGACTGGACTCCTGCTGGTCCCAGAGTCAGGACTAAACACGAGGAAGCAGCCTTTCATATTTATGCAGACTAAATCTGGTCTTCCTGAAAATGTGAGACAGGCTTCTTCTCTGACAATGTTTAAATCCCGGTTGGAAACGTTAGTTGTGCATATGAAGCATTTCTGAAGCATTTCTTATGTAGATTGTTTAGCCCAACATGTTTCTTGTGTATGAAGCACTGTATGAATTGTAAATAACTGATTTATTGACACTGTGCTTTTGTTTTCATTGTAATGACTAATAAACTGAAGTAAACATAGAGCGTACATGTTAGCCTTGATGGGGAAGAAGCCGACTTGGGTGTTAAGACGTTGCTAAAGCGAGCTGGAGTTTCCCAATGAATGAAGGCCTCTGATTGGTCAGTTTTTATATGGTCATATCTGGATTTATCACATAAACATCGCAGAGAGACCACAGATTTAAGCCCAACATGGTGATGTCACACACACATTACTGAGCTCGGGGCATTTACTTTACTTTTACAAGTCAATAGGAGTCAGAGAGAGGAGCCAAACTTCACCATGAGCACTTCCCTATTAGGCCTTATTGAGCTAGCGGGTTAGCATTGTCCATTTATATACAGGCTACAGTGTTGGAACAAATGTACATAAAAGGAAACTGGCTTCTTCCGCATTATGGCTCACACTGGTGACGTCACACTGTGGTGATGTCACACTGTGGTGACGTCACACTGTGGTGATGTCACACTGTGGTGATGTCACACTATGATGACGTCACACTGTGGTGACGTCACACTGGTGATGTCACACTGTGGTGATGTCACACTGTGGTGACGTCACACTGGTGATGTCACACTGTGGTGACGTCACACTATGATGATGTCAGACTGGTGATGTCACACTGTGGTGATGTCACACTGTGGTGACGTCACACTATGATGATGTCAGACTGGTGATGTCACACTGTGGTGATGTCACACTGTGGTGATGTCACACTGTGGTGATGTCACACTGTGGTGATGTCACACTGTGGTGACGTCACACTGTGATGACGTCACACTGTGGTGATGTCACACTGTGGTGATGTCACACTATGATGACGTCACACTGGTGATGTCACACTGTGGTGATGTCACACTGTGATGACGTCACACTGGTGACGTCACACTGGTGATGTCACACTCTCCTCACCCATCCTCCTCTGTCCCGCAGCTCTGGACAGATGACCCTCTCCACGTAGTCCCCGACACTGGCCTTCAGCTGGGGCAGGACCCCCTCCATGCCCCCCTCCTGGCAGTGCTGGGCCATCTGCCCGGCCAGAACGTACACGGACAGCACGGCGCTCCAGGCCAGCTCCCCCCGCCGGCCCCCCCCCTGGCCCCCCCCCTGGCTGGGGCAGAAGTGCTGGTCCAGGATGCTCAGCAGCGTGGACACCGCCTGCTCCTCGCTCACGTCTTTGAAGATCCGGGGCCAGCGCCGGAAGAAGATGGGGAAGCGGCTGAGAAGCTGGTCCCCGGCGTGTCGCAGCGCCGCCGTGCACGCCGTGGGGGCCGCCCGCATGGATCTGCTCTCTGCCCCCCCACCAGTCACGTAGTCGATGTAGTCATGGGCCATCAGGTAGGCTTCTCTGACCTGCAGGGGCACAGCTCATTCTACTTATTTATGTATCGCTCTAAATCACAGCAGCAGTCGTCTCAGAGGACAGAGACCCAGGACTGAGGCTGTAGACCCAGGACTGAGGCTGTAGACCCAGGACTGAGGCTAGAGACCCAGGACTGAGGCTGTAGACCCAGGACTGAGGCTGTAGATCCAGGACTAAGGCTGTAGACCCAGGACTGAGGCTGTAGACCCAGGACTGAGGCTGTAGACCCAGGACTGAGGCTAGAGACCCAGGACTGAGGCTGTAGACCCAGGACTGAGGCTGTAGATCCAGGACTAAGGCTGTAGACCCAGGACTGAGGCTGTAGACCCAGGACTGAGGCTGTAGATCCAGGACTAAGGCTGTAGACCCAGGACTGAGGCTGTAGACCCAGGACTGAGGCTGTAGATCCAGGACTAAGGCTGTAGACCCAGGACTGAGGCTGTAGACCCAAGACTGAGGCTGTAGATCCAGGACTGAGGCTGTAGACCCAGGACTGAGGCTAGAGACCCAGGACTGAGGCTGTAGATCCAGGACTAAGGCTGTAGACCCAGGACTGAGGCTGTAGACCCAAGACTGAGGCTGTAGATCCAGGACTGAGGCTGTAGACCCAGGACTGAGGCTGTAGACCCAAGACTGAGGCTGTAGATCCAGGACTGAGGCTGTAGACCCAGGACTGAGGCTGTAAACCCAGGACTGCTCCATGTCTGCTCCTGTTATGGCGCAAAGCTAACGCCTTCAGATGAATTGCCCATATATGGAAACTGGCTGCAGCATCTTCAGCATTAAGGGTAACCACGGTGATGTCACACTCCTCATACCCGGTCTGTGGGACTCACCAGAGGGTCAGAGCTGCTGAGGCCGGTGCTGAGGTCCGGGAGCTGGTTCTGACACATATCTCTGTCCTGGGCTCACGCTGCAGCTGTGACCAGAGGGTTCCTCAGACCATCTGAGGAGAGGAGCAGTGTTTTAGTTTGTATATTAAACACATGTGATTATCGTAGAGCTGCAACAAGTTATAGAAATAATTATCAACTAGTACTGGATCTACTGCCCAAGTCCTGGATCCCTCTCATACTATGGGCCTCCCCCAGATCAAAGAGAAAGGAGACCAGAGAGAGAGACCAGAGAGAGACCAGAGAGAGAGACCACAGAGAGAGACCACAGAGAGACCAGAGAGAGACCAGAGAGAGACCAGAGAGAGACCAGAGAGAGAGACCACAGAGAGACCAGAGAGAGACCAGAGAGAGACCAGAGAGAGACCACAGAGAGAGACCACAGAGAGACCACAGAGAGAGACCAGAGAGAGAGACCAGAGAGACCAGAGAGAGACCAGCGAGAGGGACCACAGAGAGAGACCAGAGAGAGAGACCAGAGAGACGAGAGAGAGACCAGCGAGAGGGACCACAGAGAGAGACCAGAGAGAGACCAGAGAGAGACCACAGAGAGAGACCACAGAGAGAGACCACAGAGAGAGACCAGAGAGAGAGACCAGAGAGACCAGAGAGAGACCAGCGAGAGGGACCACAGAGAGAGACCAGAGAGAGAGACCAGAGAGAGACCAGAGAGAGAGACCACAGAGAGAGACCACAGAGAGAGACCAGAGAGAGAGACCAGAGAGAGACCACAGAGAGAGACCACAGAGAGAGACCACAGAGAGAAACCAGAGAGAGATTAGAGAGGTTCTATCACTATTTTTAACATTGTTTTTGGCCTCTGTCACATTCTGTTTACATATTGCGGCCTCCTCAGCTGGTGTCTCCTCAGCTGGTGCCTCCTCAGCTGGTGCCTCCTCAGCTGGTGCCTCCTCAGCTGGTGTCTCCTCAGCTGGTGCCTCCTCAGCTGGTGCCTCCTCAGCTGGTGTCTCCTCAGCTGGTGCCTCCTCAGCTGGTGCCTCCTCAGCTGGTGTCTCCTCAGCTGGTGCCTCCTCAGCTGGTGCCTCCTCAGCTGGTGTCTCCTCAGCTGGTGCCTCAGTTAGAGCAGGTTAGTGAATCAAACTCACCGTGTGTGTTTGTCCGAGTGTCAGCCTGGGTCAGCGCCGCAGCCCCCACAGGATACTGTCTGAACACAGCTGACCACAGGCTAAAAAAAGAGCCCTGAGACATACAGAAGCACAGCTGGGGGGGGGTCCAAGCGGGGGGGGGGGGAATATGAAGGTATGAGAAAGTATTATGGTGAAGTACTTTGATGCTGAGGTCAGGTGCTGCTTGGACGTCTACATTCATGAAGGGTCGCAATAAAACTAGTTCTTATGAGACTTTGAAATGTTGTTTGGAAACCTCAGTCTGGCCTCCTCACCACATGAGGGCAGTAGAGGATAGACCAGAGACCAGAGAGAGACCAGAGAGAGACTAGAGAGAGACCAGAGAGAGACCAGAGAGAGACCAGAGAGAGCAAAGAGAGGCCAGAGAGAGACCAGAGAGACCAGAGAGAGACTAGAGAGAGACTAGAGAGAGACCAGGGAGAGACCAGAGAAACCAGAGAGAGACTAGAGAGAGACCAGAGAGACCAGAGAGAGACTAGAGAGAGACCAGGGAGAGACCAGAGAGAGACCAGAGAGAGACCAGAGAGAGCAAAGAGAGGCCAGAGAGAGACCAGAGAGACCAGAGAGAGACTAGAGAGAGACCAGAGAGAGACCAGGGAGAGACCAGAGAGAGACCAGAGAGAGACCAGGGAGAGACCAGAGAGAGACCAGAGAGAGACCAGAGAGAGCAAAGAGAGGCCAGAGAGAGACCAGGGAGAGACCAGGGAGAGACCAGAGAGAGACCAGAGAGAGACCAGAGAGAGACCAGAGAGAGACCAGGGAGAGACCAGAGAGAGACCAGAGAGAGCAAAGAGAGGCCAGAGAGAGACCAGAGAGAGACTAGAGAGAGACCAGAGAGAGACTAGAGAGAGACCAGAGAGAGACCAGAGAGAGACCAGAGAGAGACTAGAGAGAGACCAGAGAGAGGCCAGAGAGAGACCAGAGAGAGACTAGAGAGAGACCAGAGAGAGACTAGAGAGAGACCAGAGAGACTAGAGAGAGACCAGAGAGAGACTAGAGAGAGACTAGAGAGAAACTAGAGAGAGACCAGAGTGAGACTAGAGAGAGACTAGAGAGAGACCAGAGAGACCAGAGAGAGACCAGAGAGAGACCAGAGAGAGACTAGAGAGAGACCAGAGAGAGACCAGAGAGAGATTAGAGAGAGATTAGAGAGAGACCAGAGTGAGACTAGAGAGAGGCCAGAGAGAGACTAGAGAGAGACCAGAGAGACTAGAGAGAGACCAGAGAGAGACCAGAGAGAGACCAGAGAGAGACCAGAGAGACCAGAGAGAGACCAGAGAGAGACCAGAGAGACCAGAGAGACCAGAGAGAGACCAGAGAGAGACCAGAGAGAGACTAGAGAGAGACCAGAGAGAGACCAGAGATTAGAGAGAAACTAGAGAGAGACCAGAGAGACTAGAGAGAGACCAGAGAGACTAGAGAGAGACCAGAGAGAGACCAGAGAGACCAGAGAGAGACCAGAGAGAGACCAGAGAGAGACCATAGAGAGACAGAGAGACCAGAGAGACTAGAGAGAGACTAGAGAGAGACCAGAGAGAACTAGAGAGAGACCAGAGAGAGACCATAGAGAGACTAGAGAGAGACCAGAGAGAGACCAGAGAGAGACTAGAGAGAGACTAGAGAGAGACCAGAGAGAGACTAGAGAGAAACTAGAGAGACCAGAGAGAGACTAGAGAGAGACTAGAGAGAGACCAGAGAGAAACCAGAGAGAGACTAGAGAGAGACCAGAGAGAGACCAGAGAGAGACCAGAGAGAGACCAGAGAGAGACTAGAGAGAGACCAGAGAGAGACCAGAGAGAGACTAGAGAGAGACCAGAGAGAGACTAGAGAGAGACTAGAGAGAAACCAGAGAGAGACCAGAGAGAGACCAGAGAGACCAGAGAGAGACCAGAGAGAGACTAGAGAGAAACTAGAGAGAGACCAGAGAGAAACCAGAGAGAGACCAGAGTGAGACCAGAGTGATACTAGAGAGAGGCCAGAGAGAGACCAGAGAGAGACTAGAGAGAGACCAGAGAGACTAGAGAGAGACTAGAGAGAGACCAGAGAGAGACTAGAGAGAGACCAGAGAGAGACCAGAGAGAGACTAGAGAGAGACCAGAGAGAGACCAGAGAGAGACCAGAGAGAGACTAGAGAGAGACCAGAGAGAGACCAGAGAGAGACTAGAGAGAGACCAGAGAGAGAGACCAGAGAGAGACCAGAGAGAGACCAGAGAAAGACCAGAGAGAGAGACCAGAGAGAGACCAAGAGAGAGACCAATAGAGAGACCAAAGAGAGACCAGAGAGAGACCAGAGAGAGACCAGAGAGAGACCAGAGAGAGACCAGAGTGAGACCAGAGAGAAAGAGAGAGACCAGAGAGAGACCAGAGAGAGACCAGAGAGAGACCAGAGAGAGACCAGAGAGAGACCAGAGTGAGACCATAAGAGAGACCAAGAGAGAGAGACCAGAGAGAGACCAGAGAGAGAAGAGAGACCAGAGAGAGACCAGAGAGAGACCAGAGAGAGACCAGAGAGAGACCAGAGAGCGGCCAAGAGAGAGACCAGAGAGAGACCAGAGAGAGACCAGAAGAGAGACCAGAGAGAGACCAGAGTGAGAGACCAGAGAGAGACCAGAGAGAGACCATAAAGAGAGAGACCAGAGAGAGACCAGAGAGAGACCAGAGAGAGAGCCCAGACAGAGAGACCAGAGAGAGACAGAGAGAGACCGAGAGAGACCAGAGAGAGACCAGAGAGAGACCAGAGAGAGACCAGAGAGAGAGCGATCATTTATGTAGAGAAGACGATCTGCTGCAGTTCAAACCATCAGAATAGGGAAGAAAGGTTAAGTGATTTTGAACGTGGCATGGTTGGTGGAGCCAGACGGGCTGCTTTGAGTATTTCAGAAACTTTCGATCTATAGAGATTTTCACACACAACCATCTCTAGGGTTTACAAAGGATGGTCAGAAAAAGAGAAAATATCCAGTGAGCAGGAGTAGGGGTGGGCGATATGGCCTAAAATTCATATTGCGGTATAATTTGGGACACAGACGGTAGACGGTATATATTGCGGTATAATTTGGTGTGTGAATTTCAATATAGGTCTAGCAGGTTCTTGCATAAAATAGTCAAGATTGTTACTTATTTATATATTAGAATCTAATATATATATTTTTTGAGTTAGAAAATCAGTTGTGAGACGAATAAAGAGACAAATGTTGTAACATACATTATTTATGTATGTTACAGTAAATACCATTCACTGTAAAAGCAATTTTTAAAAAGAAAAACATATGCATTCATTTAAAATATAAAAAACTCACAAATGTTTAACTCAAAGTCTGTAGGAGTTAGACATGGTCATTATTTATAGTGTCTGAGAGTTGGTCTGGCCATTTGTTGACGCTCCCTAAGCGCTTTTCTCTGCGCTTGCAGTGAACTGGATGATTCAATGGATTAATGTTCATTAAAACAGCGCATTGGATTTGAACAATTCATGTAAATGATCATTTTGGCACAATTAATTTTGTTTAACAAAGTAGCTTTCGTGAGATATTGACCGCGGAGGTCCGAATCTGACGCTAACTTTCCCAAACTTCTGCTGTGATGCTGCGGACACGGAACACGCATGGATCTATTTTGGCTCACACTGGCGCTTCGAGCCTACGCCCCCTTGACACTGATTGGCCAAAAGGTAGAAGCTTAAACTGTGATTACTGTGTGTGTATTTACCTCTGCTGGGGCCGCTGTGACAACAATACAGAGACAGAAACACTGTGTTAATTCCGTTCTGTTGTTCGTTGTTTCCAGTGGTGTCTGCTAGGCTAATGCTGCTAGGCTAATAGTGCTAGGCTAATGCTGCTGAATGCCGGTTTGTTTTGGTCCTTTCTGCTGGCGTCAGAGCCTGCGCAATTTGATGACATAATGACCTATCGCAATATGCCGGTATAACAAAAATCTCTACCGTGGGCCAAATTTATATCGCATACCGCTTATACCGTTTATATCGCCCAGCCCTAAGCAGGAGTTTGTGGCGAAAATGCCTTGTCAATGCCAGAGGTCAGAGGTGAAAGATCAGACTGAGCTTATAGAGGCAACACTAACTCAAATAACCACTTGTTACAACCACGGTCTGCAGGATCCTCTCTGAACACAGAACATGTCAGACCTTTAGGCGGCTACAGCAGCAAAAGACCACACTGGGAGCCAGTCCTGTCAGCTAAAAACAGGAAACTAATGGTGCTTTCAGACCGCCAACGCTGAAACGCGGAAGCCCCGCTCACCAGACGCGCATTCTCTAGTTTTCAGACACAGAGGACTTCACACCAGAACGTCCTGATGCGAGCCGGAAGTACCGGAAGTAGCCGGCCGGCTCTAATGCTAACAGAGCTATGCTAGCGGCTTCTTGTGTACAGATCTTCTCCAATATGCAGCTTTGCAGCGTGTCTTTGCTCACAGACATTCCACGGGCTTTATATAACAGTAGTATGTGTTCACGGAGGTGCGCCATACGTTTTTATATTATTAAACAGAATTTCCACATCGGCGAACACACTCGAAGCCGTTGCATAAGGTTACGGGAGCATGACAACACATATTTTCACAAGCACAGAGTCCCCCATTGTCAACCCTGGGTTGAGTTCTGGTGAAGTCTGGTGTGGCTCCTGTTTTGGATGTTTACGAGTATTTTCAGTCTGCTCGCTCAGTCCGCTAATGTCCCCGTGACCACTTTGCTGCTCTCTGATTGGTTGTCGCACGAACGTTCCAAGGAAAGGATGAGCAAAATCCATCTCCTGTGGGCGTTGATTTTTCGCTCGTGCTCCTCCCATTTCACTTTCCTGCCAAGTCCGTGCATCGTTATTGAACAGTTCGTTCGTGCGATAGTCTCACAGCCTGAGTATTGCTGCTGTGCTGACCATGTCCTTTATGACCACAGTGGACCATCTCCTGATGGCTACTTCCAGCAGATAAAACACTTGTCATTAAGCTCAAATCATCACAGACTAGTTTCTTGAACATGACGTTGACTGTTCTGTAACGGCCTCCACAGTCACAGATCCCAATAGAGACACATTGCGATGAACA